AGCCTCATTCACTTGCTAATAGGCTACTGAATAAAAGACATCAAATCTATATTGCCATGCAAGGATACAGTCCAACTTGCTAAAACCAGGGGAAAAGCAAGACAGGGCAAGGGAGGAGAGGAAGCAGATTAAGTTTTCCAGAAACACCCCAAAATTCACACTTTCAACTCAACAGGAGTCCCGGGAGGCTGAGCAGGGCAGTGACACCAAAACCTTCAACACTGAACAAGCACTTTTTTCAGCTTTGGTTAGAAAAGTCATTTCTTACAGAGCTGCCATAGTTCATATGATTAGAGCAACAGCGTACAGAAAGGAGAAGGGGTTGAGATTTTTTGGGGGAAGGAAGGTGGAAAAAAAAAAAAAGCACTGGGAAAGCCACACCAATGAGCTTGTTAACATTTGAAGAGACTGCTTGGCGTGATTCCTTACACAGATTCCTGCCAAGAATTTGCAAGAGGAAAGTATATTTAGCAATCCAAGGCATGCCAAAGCCTTGTCAAGAGAAAAAAAAAAAAACATTTTGAATATGTGGAATAGCAATTAGACATTTTCTAAGCAGCCATTTTCAAAATGCATCCAGGCATCTAATAAGGGCACCTGAGGCATATCCACAACTCCGCCACACTCCATGCCTCAAAAGACACCCGCTAAGGATCAAATACTCGGAGGAAGGATATGTTACCGATGGCAACTGCCCACTTCCAGAGCGCTGGGGCCAATCTCAAGCAGGTGATTCTCTGCCACCCTGAGCCACTGGCAATACACAGTCTCATGTCACTGCATATCACTTTGTGGCAGTCTTTAAGGAATCAGTTCTCCAAGAAAAGCTGTGAGCCACGCTGCATAGCTGGGAAGCAGAGAAGTGTTGCCTGCTCACTTCTCGCACAGGAGCTGGACCACCAGCTCTGTAGTTTCACCAAGTGGAGCTGCTGAACGTCCAGGTGAGATGAGGAACAGGTGAAAGCTAAGACAATATGTAAAATCAGATGGCAACTTGCAGCTCGTTGAAATGTCATTCACATCATACCCAACTCTGGCCAATTCTCTCCTTGTAGGTCTGAGCTGCAAAGCTACAATAAACTTCTTCACTAAAGCTCTTTTCTTTCTAACGAGAGATATAGAAAAATGTAAAAAAAGGATAGGGTATATCTGTTCCAGGAAGGTGACTCACCTGCATTGGTAAACTCTTGTTTCTGAAGTGCCATTAGAAATCTCCCTGGGATGCAGCATGGAGAAAGAGGCATGAGGAGGCTCAGGAATGCAACCCTTGACAGTGCACGAGGATGAAGGCAGCTGATGATATAGTAAGGCCAATACATTTACTGTTCATGAAAGTTGGAAATCGCACTGGGATATGCTCCTTAACACATGGAGCCCATCACTTATAGCTGTCAGGCGATATTACAGTCAAACCCTTAAGAAAGATAAGAAGCCAAAAAGGAGTACCTGCACAGGGGCTGAGTTTACACCACCTCTAAGTCAGGACACACCAGTCCTGTGAAGGGATAACCAGTGCCTGTGACTGAGGTTTCTCATCCATATGAGTCCTAAGACCCAACAGTCTTTAATATGTGGCATAATACAAATACAAATGGTGCCCCCAAGGCTTAGCATCATGATCTCCTACAGACCAAACAGGCTGTCAGTGAGCAGAAGGGAGCAGGAAGTGCAAATGGGGTAAAGCCAAAGCAATTGTTTTCTTTTGAAAACAAATAAATGCTTAACATAGAAATCAGAATGAGGGCAGTTGCCCTGAGCTCTTTCAGTTTTTGGGTTCCAAGTTCTTTTGCAGTCCTGAAACACCTTCAGGCATCTGAAATACCACTTTGATTACAGCCACCATCCCCTTGAGTTATATCCTCGATCCTGAAAAAAAATTGCACAGGACTCAGGGATTGCTCTGAGAAAGAGGTCCCCTACTCACTTGCTCTTCAAAAGTAACCTAGATCAACCAGCCTGCTGAGCCACATCTACAGAACACTCAATCAGATTCAAAGTCTCTGCTTCCATCAAATCCTCCTCCAACTCCCATAGCCACAGCAATTCACTAGATACAGCCATAAGCTCACACCCTCAGACAGGTGCCAGCACTTTGCTCTGCTTCTGCAGCATCTCACATAACTCTAGACAAGTTCCTGACTAACGCTCAACAACAAGCATACTGAAAGCACTAATTCAAATTGCTAAGAAATCCTGTTTTCACCCTAGACTCCCAGAGGAAACAACAGATTTTGAGGATCACCTGGCCAAATCACATAGTTGTCAATACAACAAATTATCCTAGGATATACGCAGGGTTTGGACAGAGCAGCAATGCAAATTCAGCTCTGTTAGAGGTGACAAGTGACCACGAACACCCTCCATCTCCAACCTCCCCACTTCCATTTCTGCTTCCTGATCTCTTTTGGCACAGACCTCTGTTTCAGTCTAAAACCGCTGTTTTAAGGGGGCAGCATGAAACGCCGAGCTAAGAAGCTACAGCAGGTGCAGAGGTGAGCAGAGAGCCCTTCTCCCGGAGGGGAAGGGAAGCCGGAGAAGCAGCCGAGCCTTGCAGCACCGAGCAGCAGAGCGGCAGTGTCGCCCGCTGGCCGTTCGCAGCATTGCCAGCTGCCGGCGCTCTGATTGCAGCATCCTCCCCTCTTCCCTGCCCTCTCCACCTTCCTCCCTCCCGTCACTTCAGGGAAAAGTGCGGAATCGGCAGCCCTGAAGGTTCCCCAGCCTCTGCAAATATTAATCCTAAAGGTAATTAATAAGTTTCTCGGCAGGAATAGAAGTCACCTTAAACAAGATTCCTTTGCAATCATCCTGGGATATCAACACAACGAAACACACCCTCTGCACCTGTTTGATGAATGGCTCCTTCATAGCAGTTGAGTGGACTTTAACGAGAAATGTGTACTTTAATTATGACCTCTGCATTAATGAAGAAAGCATTGAGGTGCACAGTAATACCTCAGTACCTGGAACTGGGAGGGGAAAAGGACGGAGCACGCCTAGTCAAGAATAGAAGGGGATTTGCAGAACACCACGGTCCTGCCAGCAGAGGCAGGAAGAGCCGGTGACACACACCTACCTCACGTCACTGCCAGCTACAAGCCTTCCAGACAGCAGTAAATCTCAAGTTGCCAGCAGCTCACCAGCTTAACACTTGTGTCTGGTTTTAGCAGCTCAAGAACTTCAGAAGAGAGAAGGACATCTTAAACCAGGGGACACCTGTAGCTGTTCCAAGGGCTGAGCAGTACTTTTTACCTGCAGATCACCGAGGCACAGCAGTGACTTTCCTGTGGCAGAGGAGTCACATCCAAAGCCCCTGTATCACTGCAGATCCTTGTGAAGTTTTGCTCTAGCAGGAACACCTCATGCAGGAGGTGCTGGAACCCTTCTGCAGCTTCACCGAGAAAGAGCGTTTCTCCGTCCCACCCTCAAGCCCAGCACCCAGTTAGCTGGGCTGCTATTCCCAAGCTGTCAGGCCTCTCCTCTGCCTCAGCTGGCTGCATGGCATCTCCTTGTAGAAACGGAGACCTCCACGGGGCAACCCAAGCCCCTTCTACAGGCAGAGCTGCAACCCACATCATGAAAGAAACCACCCCCTAAGCACAAGTGTTTTACCAGCAAAGGCTTTTGCACCATGAATTAGCAAGCAAAGTCATCAGTGCTTACATGGTTTCATCAAAATTTCCCAGGAAAAGGGCTCACACGAAGACACCTTTAGCATAATGGAAGATGTCTTTATTTTGATGCAATTCAACTCTTTCATCCTGCACCACAGGCAGAACAAGGTGTGTCAACAGAGGAACGCGCAGTGATCGCTCTGCCAGAAAGCACAGTCCCCCAGGAGGTGACAGGAGGGATATGCAGGTTGGTACAAATGTTGGAGACAATACCAACACATGAATTCACTTTCGCATGGGAAATTAATAAAAACCTAAGAGACAAGTTCAAGGACACTGCTGTCAAACTTTTGAGCCACAGATTTTTTGCAGCTTAGGAAAAGGTTCCTACGTAAGTTCAGTTCTGAATCTACCTTTCAAAGATGTCAGGCTCATTAATGACATTATTGCCACAGCTCATCACCACCCAAATCCATTTAAAGCCTAAGTGGGAGCAGAAGAGCGAGCAACTAATACGCTACCTGCTAACTATTTTTCCTCCAACAGCTGTGAAGGTTACTACCAAGACTCATGGGTTTTGACCTGCATTGTTAAGGACAGGAGAGGTGCTGCAGTCACTGAAACACAGAGACAAAAAACATACTTCAACCCCAATCCAAACTCACCTGGACAGACCATAAGAGAATGTTCCAGCATCTTAAGCTTGACAGTCTAAAGGGATGATTTGGAGGCAATTATTAACTAAATCAGCAGCTTTTCCTCCAAGACTAAGCGTCCCAGAACTTGGCTCAACATGAACATTTATTGTTGAAACTCAGTAGACTGGGCAAACTAAACAAAGACATGGGAGCCAACTATCAGACCCAGGAAGAGCAAGCCATACAGTGTTCAGGTGGACTAAGCTCGATATCTAAAAACAACAGAACATGTTACGGACTGCAGTCAGCAATCGTCTGCAGCTAGTGCTGGATGATCAGCAGCACCCATCAGCACCAGAGGGCAATAACTGCTGTTACCGTGCCCATCTCCCACCAAGCCAGTCATGATGCTCTTCTTCTACCCTATTTTTCTGTCCTACACCAACCCCATGGCCCTCCCTCCAAGGCAAATGGGAAGAGGCGGAGTGAAGTCTGCCATGCTCTTTGCTCCTCCCATTACATCTGTCCATTCCTCCACTTGTGGAGCTCCTCAAGGCACAGACCAAAGGATGTACACCAAGACGAGTCAGGCTTCTTCAAGCTATTTAAGCTTTCTTCAGGTAAAAGTGGTTTTTTATGGCTTCACCAGTACCAAGAGACAGCTACTGGAGAGCACTACTGTCTCCGCAGCAGTATCTATACATACAGTAGAGCAAGACAGAAAGGACTTTTTGTAGAAAGAGGAACATAATTCCACTCCATTATCACCTTTTTTATTGTTAAAAGGACAGATCCTGACAGTGAGGAAAAAAGGGATGTTTCACAAGGAGAACGGGAAGCAGCTTCTACTGGTCTTTCAACTCCTTCAGCCTTCTGATCGCAGATTTCACTGTCACTGCAGAGGTGGTGCTGGAAGAAGAAGCAGAGTCATTTGCACCTGGCACTACAACAACCCATGCCAGCGCTGGTTTTTTTCAGAAAGCACTAATCATGTCAAATAGTTATTGTCTGATTGCACTGTCAACAGGGGGCTGTTCCACTTTGATTTTCACAACAACAGAGCGTAAGCCTTTGTCTCCATAAGGAGAGGCAACTTCACAAGCCACATCTCAGCCCAAATTATCCAGTCATGCATCAACTACACACAGAAGTGTGTGGGCTCAGATCCCTAGGGACTGCTCAGTGTGGGGCAAGTATCTTCTACCAGAACTGCGGGGGAAAGAAAAGGGCACCATCACAGTAAGGATTAATGATTCAATGCTTTTAAAATAAAAGCAAAACGTGGAAATTATTTTGTCTTGAATTAAACCTGGTTTCACCTATTTTATCTCTATCTCTAAACTGAAAAGGCTAGGGTAGTAACCGCAAAAAAAAGTGCTGCTCAGGCACTGAGAGAAGAGGTAAGAGTTCTCTTACACAATTATGATTTTTAACAAAAAAAAGTGCTGCTCAGGCACTGAAAGAAGAAGTAAGAGTTCTCTTACACAATTATGATTTTTATACAGTCAAAACAAATCAAGGAAGGACAAATAATCCCCAGGTCAAAGGTGTATTTTACGAGAAACTGTCGAATTTCTTTTTTAGAAGTTTAGGTCAGAGGGACATCTGTCAGATGTCAGCAACATAGACAATTCCACCCCGAGAGGGCTGGACGAACCAGCCATTCTCTCCGCTCCTCTTCTTCCAACATCACTAAAAAAACTGGCCCAAGCGTAACACCTCATACAAGCCACAACTGCAGTTCACATTTCCACTAAGAGGGCTGGATGAACCAGCCATTCACTCCGCTCCTCTTCTTCCAACATCACCAAAAAAACTGGCCCAAGCGGAACACCTCACACAAGCCACAACTGCAGTTCACATTTCCACTAAGAAATGCTACCACAGCTACACAACAGAAACTGGAAAGAACAGCAATTTAGTCCAACTTGAGCCATTCCAATCAAATTCTAACAATGCAAAAAAAGCCCCACACATCTTTAACTCGAGATAGACCTACTTAGTGGTTAATAGATTAAAGTTTGAAAAAATTAAAATAAAAAGCTGTATGATGTCTCAGCTATACAAGAATAAATGCTGACAGGAGTTTCTTCATTTCCTTACTTGTAAGTCCAGGCACCACCAGCAACTGTCTTCATGCAGGATCCACAGTGCCAGATACCCACAGCCTTCCTCTTCATTTTGGTCTGTAATGAAAGAAAAATAAATAGAAAAAAAATTAATGCCCTCTCCATTAGCTGAAAAAGCCAAACAAACTTCAGGCAAGAACTTCAGCATCATACCACAACATTTCTTACAAGTCTAGTTAAGACAGGAAAGGATCAGGGACTATTTTTATTCAGGTTCTTCAGAACAGGCAAAATCCTTTTGAAACACTTTTTTTCATTCAGAAACAAAGTGGGACATTTCTAAGCGCATCATCAAAAATTCATGTCTTTTTGAAGGAGAAAAATAGTAAAGGAGTTAACACTGGTCAAAATAACTGGTATTCTCAGCAGGTTGGATGACCAACATCACACTGCTCCTATCAGCGCTCCCCGGACATCCCAAGACTGCTCTAAATTCCCTTTGTACAGCTCCTACAGAGCGAGTGGTGGGTCCCAAACTCCTTCCACCTGGGCAAATCTCCATCACCGCACAGAGACAACAAAGGGTTTGTCTGGAGCTACACTGGATTTAGACAGCTCTGCAAATGGGGTTATCAACATTCTCACTCCACATGAAACAATATATAAAAAACAAGCACCCTCAAACAGATGGGAATCTTAAATTTCCAGCCACTTAAAGACATCTACTTTATAGATATCAATAAAAATGATCCGGGTAAAGCACAAGCTGATGGGGGACTCAGACTGTCAAAAACCAGATTTAAAAGGAAAATTTGATTATCTAAGTCAGCAGGTAAGATTAATTACTGGAAAATTCTTCTCCATCCAGAATGTTACTGCTCAGAAATATAAGCAACTGCAATCAAAAGTTTTATGTGGGAAAAGCAAGCTCTCTTCCACCTCCAGGTAAACTGTAAAGCTACTGAGGGGAATAAAAAGCAAGACCAAGTCATGCCTTAATTATCAAGATAATGTGTGCATTGTTTTACTTCTCTTGGGTCTTTTTATTACATATGGAAGACGTACAGTACGGCAACATTTCTCACTGTTTTGTGTAACAAAATATAATTTATGTCTGTTTTCATTTAACTGCCACTAAACATGCATATGAAATGTCTACTAATTATTTTATAAGGGACTCTGACAGCAGTCTAAAGCTCACAATAAACTAACTGCTGTCTCAAAATTAGACAAGTTATCTCTTCAGTAGAAAAATTACCAGAGTATCAAATTGCATTGCCGGCATCACTAACAGAGTTATTTTTAAAAGCCTTTTTAGGGAAGGCGGTCTCTCACCTTGCCACAGAAGGAGCAGGTATACTTGGCATGCTGGCTAATTTCAATCTTCTTCACCATTTTCCTCAGGGACGCACCATAACGGGTACCGTATTTACCCACAATCCCAACCTTCTTGGTGCGTTTCGCCTGTTGGGGAGACAAACCAGGATAAGCTTCAGCTTTACTGCGACCGCCACCTCAGCTGCTGACATGACAGACGGGCCCTCAGCCACCCAAAAGCCAAGTCCTTCCCCGGGGCCTGCCCGCTCTCACACGGAACGCTGCAGC